AGAGGAGAGAGAGCAATTCTCGAGAATGCTCTCCCTCTCCCTCTCTCTCTCTCTCTCTCTCCTCTCTCTCTCTCGCTCTCTTCTTCCACTATCTCTCTCTCTCTCTCTCTCTCTCTCTCTCTCTCTCTCTCTCTCTCTCTCTCTCTCTCTCTCTCTCTCTCTTCTCTCTATCCTCTTCTCTCTCTCTCTCTCTCTCTCTCTCTCTCTCTTTTATTGACGGTGCTCAATGTTATTGATATCTAGCATTACAACATCGTTTTGCCAGTCCTCCTGGCATATCAATAGTTGTTGACGCAAAATGATAACTCTGAACTAATAATGCGGAAAACCAAGAGGCATATATTATAGGCAAAACAGGCATTTATTTTTTATATCAAGACAAGAGTCAATACAGCTCACCAGATAATTTTCGCTGTGATCCGTTTGCCAGACAGGAATGCGGAGGACTTCACTTGTCGAACAGCACTACAACCGTACCGCAGCAGGCTGTGTCGGCACAACCGTACCGCAGCAGGCTGTGTCGGCACAACCGTACCGCAGCAGGCTGTGTCGACACAACCGTACCGCAGCAGGCTGTGTCGACACAACCGTACCGCAGCAGGCTGTGTCGACACAACCGTACCGCGGCAGGCTGTGTCGGCACAACCGTACCGCAGCAGGCTGTGTCGGCACAACCGTACCGCAGCAGGCTGTGGGCACAACCGTACCGCAGCAGGTGTGGGCACAACCGTACGCAACTGTTGGGTCAGGCTGTCGACAACCGTACCCGCGGCAGGGCTGTGTCGGCACAACCGTGCCGCAGGCTGGTCACAAACGGCGCACAGGCGTGTTGACACAACCGTGCCGCACCAGGCCGTGTTGACACAACCGTGCCGCACCAGGCCGTGTTGAACAACGTGCGCACCAGCCGTGTTACACACCGGCCAGACCCAAAAGACCGTGTCGACCACCGTGCACAGGCCGTGTCGACACCACCGTGCCGCACCAGCCGTGTTGACCACAACCGCCCGCCAACAGGCACGTTGTCGACACAACCGTGCCGCACCAGGCCGTGTCGACGCAACCGTGCCGCACCAGACCGTGTCGACACAACCGTACCGCAGCAGGCTGTGTCGGCACAACCGTGCCGCGCCATGCCCTGTCGACACGACCGTGCCTCACCAGGCCGTGTTGACACAACCGTGCCGCACCAGGCCGTGTTGACACAACCGCGCCGCAACAGGCCGTGTCGACACAACCGTGCCGCACCAGACCGTGTCGACACAACCGTACCGCAGCAGGCTGTGTCGGCACAACCGCACCGCAGCAGGCTGTGTCGACACAACCGTACCGCAGCAGGCTGTGTCGACACAACCGTGCCGCACCAGGCCGTGTTGACACAACCGTGCCGCACCAGGCCGTGTCGACGCAACCGTGCCGCACCAGACCGTGTCGACACAATCGTACCGCACCAGACCGACCCTCCATGGCCAGTTGCCAGCTGGTCGTTCCCTGTTGGTCGGACAAAGCATTGCGTTGGCTCCAGGACTCGCACTTGGCATCGCTGGCCATCAGTCAGCACGTTGCTCTCAGACCGGGGGATACGCGGCGCCGGGTGTATTGCACTGCTCATGCTACGCCTATGCTCCTGTTCCCAGATTAGCATTGTAAGCACAGATTCAAATTAAAGCGGTCCAGAGCCCTTTATAGATCCAAACAATCCAGTGTGTACAAACTAAATGCCAGTTTAGTTAGTCCAGGCAGGTCCCTGCCTGCGACAAATCTTCTGCGACGCCCCAAACCACACAGTCGAAATCGTGGCCGCGGGTGTCCACGGCAAACGATCCTGTTTTGGGCTACGCTAAGTATTGCTGTTGGTAAAGCATCTCTTGTCTGAGACACAGACAGCGGGAGCAGCCTTATATTCACTGATATTGGGGTAAGACACTTCTCGCGCGCCATCTTGAGCAAGAAGCCGCCAAGGAATGCTTCTATTAACGATACAAAGTTATGCATCTTGGGTGCGCTTGTCCCAAATTGGCCGGTACCTCGCTTGTTTAGGTTTTAGCATGTGCCACAATTGCGTTCGATTTGGATCAATGTTCAAGCCATTATGTTTCCTCACAGGTCCACGCGTGATTACACGGCATAGTTAAGTACGTAACAGAACCGGAAAGGCATTATGGCGGAGTGGTTAGCGCATTGGACTGGCACGTGTTGGCGGGGGCTCGGATTCCCACCCCGGCTGCATCATAGCCCCTCAGCGCTGATACGTCCAATGCCGTCGTTGGCGTTCCATAAGAAGGTGCGTGCTGGCGTACGTCGTGTTGCCTTAAAGGGAGTGTTTCCACATTTATATTGGGCTTTGAACTGAAATAGCCATCTTGAAGACCTTTCGGTACCGCTCACAATCATGCCCTTCTTAAAGCCTAAGCCCCTCTAGTTTCTGAGCTACACACACCCGCCAAAATGGGGAAAGGTATGTCGGTGAGAGTATTTTAAAGTCACCTTGGCATTCACGATGTCATAATAACATCATTCAAATCCTGTCATTCCATAAGCCGCGCAACGATCGAGGCCAAGAAAAACGTGATTGTCAAATTGTTCGTATCTAACGCTCGTGAGCGCGATTTCCAGATATAGCGGCCGTCAATTGGCTCTCAATCAATGCTATGCAAGCTACGATGACGTAGTCAAACAATGACACTTTGAGGAGCGTGTTAACTAAACAGAGAATTGTGTCGTGTAGTGCAGTCTTTTAACTTAAAAAGTATACCACTAGTTATAAGAGAGCCTGTTTCATCATGCTTGATGCTTGCTTCAATATCTTTAAAATTGAAACATTCCCTCTAAACACAGCATAGCGGAACCGTCATCCCCGTCGACACCGACCATATGACCTCCAGGAAGTTAGGGGTCAACAGCGAGATCACGTTACTTCGCTATTAAAACATGGAATCCAAATATGAAAATGGTCTTGTACTCGCCACCACTTTCAGGTACATGGCAACGTGACCCTCTCCGCTTCGGCAAAGTGACCTCAAATGCTCACCGTGTAGCCTCCTGGAAAATGTGGATCAAAAATGATGGCGCACGCCCAACTTCGCCATTGCTGTATCGAGCCAAGTTTTGAAGAGCCGTGTGCTCGCCGTGACGTCAGATGCATGCGCCTCCGACCTCCGACCTCCGACCTCCGAGCGTACTGACCTCCGAATGTCACCCCATAACCTCCAGGCGGCGGTAGGAAAAACTGGTCACGCATAACGTCGATGATGCACTGGCTTTTAAATCCAAAGGCGACCACGAGCGCGCCATGGCGTCAGGTGTAGGCACATTTGGCAATATGCGCGCGAGCGCGTCGGCCACCGCAGCGAGCAACTCATCGTCAATCCCGTGTTACTCACCGGCCTCATCGGCGATGAGTGCCAGCTGGCCAGTGCGCGCGCCCACCGCACGTCACCCGTCTGAAGCGTCGCCTACCCCGGGCAGGAGCTAGAGCAGGAGTAGAAACAGGAGCAGGAGCAAGAGTCGGGCCTGTAGCCAGAGCAAGAATCAGGGCCAGAGCCGGTACCGGAGCTCGGCCGGTGGCTCCACGTCAGTGATGCGCACGTGGTAAGGATTACGGCGGACAAGGAGCTCAACAGCCTTCCGTGCAGGATTTTTTTTTTTTGGTGATACGTTTTCTGAATAGTTCCTTCTCAGAACGCTTTAAACCGGAAAATTAATTATTCAACTAATACGCATGTCAAGAGGTTTGCGCAACTTGAATATGCCAACTTTGTTTCTGAGAATATTCCGATGGGAAAATGATGACTCATCCAAATATCATACACAAGTCCGGTTATTTTTCCAATGTCATACGACAAACTAAAATAATGACGGGGACGTGACTTTTGGTTGTTTAATAATGGTCCCTACCACTGTTCGTTTTGACCTTCAACTGCTGGATGAGACGCCAATTTTGTTTTGTTGGAATACTATAAATAATTGAGGAATGGTGACATAACACAAAGCTTAAGCTATTGGGTATTTTTTTCTGGCAGTGGCTACATTTTTGACCCACGAAGTGAATGTAAATTATATAAAACCTAAAAGATATGAACTGCCGCTCGTCAACATATGATAATCTAAGCCCGTTTAGAAACACATATTTGGAGGAATTTTTGTTTACGGGCCCCGGTTACGAACCCCTCCCCCTTAAATCATTTTCACAAGTCAGCACCTTCGGACAGACGCCAAATTTTGCCTCCTAGATCAGCTCTTTTATCCTAAAATTCATTTGGCAATACGTTTCAGCAGAAAATGCCTGAATTGTTTCCTTATATGATGCGGTCTTTTTCACTTTCATACCAAACCCACGTTAATCTATTTTGCAGACATAAGTCTTCAACTGACCTTCTTGCGCCACCATTCAGCTCGCTGAGGTCTTGAAATTACGAGAGCACACTATATGCGGTCATCGGTGCGACCAAGTTTCAGAGTTTTATCTTAACCGGGTGGAAACTGCGCCGAAAACACTTTTGTTTCTTCCCTTTCCGCTGAGTTCAACACCGTCAACGAGACGCTCCGCTCGGAAGGCGGAATGGACGTGCGCGGCATTGTAATAGGTCATGCAACATGCATCAAAGCCACAAGAGCACTATTAATCACTTTTGTATGGCGCTCCAAGACGCGCTCATTAATCAGCTTGTCAATGACGCGTGTCTAGCAACTGATCTTATCTAACGTCACCAGCCTCCGGCTGAGTATGATGTACGTTTTCCGTGATGTTTAAAGTGCGTCGCCCATCCACCAGTGTCTGATAGCTCAATCACATCCACCAAACACGCCCCGCTAAACGATCCGCTCAGAGATTGCTGCGGTCTTGTTGGCCATCTTCGGGCGCCGCGTGGCGCGCAGTGCGGCGCGCCGTCCCACTGTGCGGCCCAGGTGAGAGTGCGGGCGGCGGCCGCCTCGAGAGGTCGGCCCGAGCCGGCGCGCGCCGTGCCCGCCAGCCGCGTCAGTCTCGGACACGCCCCGCACCGGGCAGCGCGCGCCGGCACCGGGCACCGCGCCGCTCCTCCCGTGCGTCGTGTTTCGTGCCGTGCGCTCCGCGGGCTCGGGTTACCGTGCAGAGGTGCAGGGGCACATCGGTGCTGCGTCACCGCCGCCCTCAGGTCGGCCGCGTGCCGCTGGTGGTCTCGCGGGGGGCGCGGGAGCTCGCCCGTGTCGAGATGGGTCGCCGCAGCCGCTGCGCGGCACTCCTGCTGTGCGCGGCGCTGGTCACCACACAGGGCGTCGCCATCAGCACAGGTGGGTACGCTCCGAGCTCTCACGCAGCTCTGACGAGCGCGCGAGAGCACGCGCGCCCACGATGACGGTCACGGCCTGCCGTATTCCATTTAATATGTCCGGTGCAGGGAATTGATTCGATACCTGGCTGCACGGAATAGTGCAGCAGATAGTGGAGAAGGTAAATAGACATAGCTGCCTGTAAGAAACGGCAGAAGAAAGGGTGACAGGCGGTAACAAAAACTAGGCGCGTGCAGAGAAAGAGGGAGACAAAGTGAGAGGGAGAGAGAACCGATAATTATAGATTGGCCAGGGCTGTAACCATGGAGAGAAAGTCACGGAAAGCGCTGAAGAATTCGTCGGCGCATTTCGTCAATAACATGGCGAGGATTCTGGTTGCGTGTTTCCAGTTTTAAACGGCTGCCAGGTGGAGGCCGAGAGGGTTCGCAGCTGCGAGGCGCCAGGGACAAAAGGTCCGTTTTTGTCCGTCTGAGGAGTGGGCGAAGAGGCGGAGAGCCTCCTCAGAGGGTCACAAATCGGACCCAGGTGACGCCTGGGCGACAGGCGGACGTGGCCTCCAGTCGCCTGTGTCCCGTTTCATCGCGTCCCACGCTCCCACCCTGACCTGTCGCGTGGAATGTGTGACCCAGGCAGTTGGACCGGAGTGGAACAAAGCTCAGCTTTCTCGCTGGACATTCGTCTAGAGGCAAATGAGTTTTGCCCTGTCGCCCACGGCTGGTTCGCGTAACGTTTGTCCTCGGCTGAATTCAGATCACGTTCCTGTACACCACCCTCCATTCCACTGTTTGATCAGATCACTCGAATGGCGCCGATCGCTGACCGCGGATGAATTGAGCTAACATGGAGTCGTCTTAACCAGCGAGCCAAAGTGTGCAGTAGTCTCTACGGTGCCAGTCTCAGCCTGGTGCACGACTGCAGCGCGGTTCGCTGCCGGGCGCCTGTCACGCCGCGCCCGCCCCGCCCTCCTCAATCAGTGATCGGGGTGGAGGACCCCGGAACAGGGCCCGGTCGGCGGCCGACCGGGCGGGCCAGGGCCCCTGAGGCCGCCCCGGCTGGGAGAGGGCGCCTATCCCCGGGACGTGCGGGGCGTTGTGGGTTTGCAGCAAGAGCGCCGGCCGCAGCGGCGAGGCGTAGTGGCGGCGCTGCGGCCCCTATAGTTGGGCTACGCCGCCGGTGCGTCAGATATCATCGCTCGAATGCGCTCACTGTCGTGTCGGGAATCGGAAGGAATCACGTGGGGGTAGCTATCTGCCTCTGATGTGAAGCGGAATCAGCGAGGTTGTGCATTCGTCACTGGGAGAAATATGTGATCGCCAGAGCTGGATTGGCGTTGGAAGAAAGCATACGCGCTACGGTAAACTCGCCACAACTGTTCCGCGCCTGTAAGGGTTGTGGCTCGGTGTTCTGAAAAATGTGCTGCTTGCTCGTTCTGTCATCACCATGACATGTGCAAAGCAGCTCTCGACCAGCCAAAAACAGTCGCTGCCGTCCGGAGCATGGAGGTCTAATCGACCGAATTAACATGGAGCCGCTCGCGAGCCTGGGGTCATCGGTGCACGCCCACTGGCCCGTGTGCAATGCTGCAGGAACCGGTGCAGTGGAGTCGGGAAGAGCTGAGGTGACCTATCTGTTGTAGTGCCCGGTGTTTCAATATTAGACGACCGCATAGCTCAGAACTCAGCGGGGCAAGTTATAATGGGTTCGATCGAGTCCAAATAAAATTGGTGATAAGACTGAATTACTCCGAGGAGGTGCGCATTTGCCTGACATTCTTCAGAACGGCGGAAAACATTTGGATTGTGGATGGTTAATCTCGTGTTCAACTCTTCCTCAACGCCTGCTCAGAATCCGTCCTATGTTTACAGAATCCTTGTCTGGCAAAATCCTTTACAGGATCCTCACCTGGACTACGGAAATCGATCTGTGAGACACATCTGAATGCGATCGGTCTCCGTCCGTCCATTTCGATGGCCCAGTTGGTTAGAGTGCCTGAGGCTTCGAGTCGTTTTAGGCCCTCGCTGTTAACCCTCGACTAAAATGGTCAGATTCAGTCAGAGACAGAGGTCCGCTTGACTGCAGTGGCCTGTGGGCGGGTCACAGGTCCCCTGAAGGTCAGCTGACGTCATAGGGTAAGGTGGACTGTGCTGGACATAGCGGCCAACTTTCAACAACCAAACAACAGCCGAATTTTCGCCGCACACCGTGTCGTTGATCTTGAATTTTACTATCGAATTGGAATGGTAAGGCAGGGTTAGGTCTCACCTGCCAAGCACTGCTTAGTGTGGTCGCTGAGCCTAGAAATTCATCGGATCAAAAGACTCGGACTAAATCTTTTTCAAAGTTTTGATTGTCCAAGATGTGTACGGGTAATCAAAATGTAACACGAAGCTTCCCTCGTGTCAGGTATTCGATGTCCATAGTGAGACAAATATTTGTGCATACCAACGCATGAACCATTACATATCATCCTTGGAATTTTGGAGCTTCCCAACCTAGGAGGCAGTGAGAACAACATGATATTAAAGACAACTGTTAAGCGGAAAGTATGGATATGTGCGTACTTACAATCAGAGACCTACAGTGTGAGTTAAGTTCTGCTTTAAATTTATCCTGTAATTTGGATGTATATTTTTAGCATGACTGTAATAAACGTGAAGTATAGTGGAAAACCTTTACTTATGTTGATGAAATGTGGCAACAAAAAAAGAAAGCCAATATATTTCGCTTTGTGCTTCTCCAGGACTAAAAAACAGGCGTAGAAAGAACAGAACTCTTTTGAAACATTTGTCGTGCGTGCAGTCCTTTGCTGAAATTCTAGTTTCGCTGACTTTCAGGTATGCATGAGGCACTACAACCATAAAGCATGTGCATATCATGGAAACGACGGATCAAATAGCCATAAAATATGGCACGTCATCGGCGTCATCTTAACCTTACAATCATTCCGTTTGTTTTTTCTTCTTTCTCCTCCCCACACAGAATGTTGACACCGCGTGGAAATGTTGATAACCGTTCTCAAAACAACGGCACAAACAGAAACGCGCGCGCGCACGATCTGTTCGCCATGAAGCAGCGAGATCCAGTGATAGTGTCGCGTTGTTTGTGTCATGTGGTAGTGTTCAGAGGGTTTTTGACCAATATCCAGGAGGATGTCGTAATGTTCAGGGTTTGGCCTTCTGTTTCGCGTTGTCTGGTGACTGTGATTTTCGTTAGCATCATATCCTTGTCTTGTCCGCAGCATTGTTGCGCGGGCCATTCTTTGGCACTTTATGTTGGGGAGATGTGCGTTTTTTAAACACTCACCTTCTGTGAGTACTCAAATGTGAGGGTTATGGCTTCGATGACGTCCGTAAATATGATTGCTAGTAGCGATGAAATGATGTTCCCACAGCTATGCCGTTTTTTCCTGAAGTATTTGCTGTTTATTTACGGCACAAACAATCTACAGGCAAAAACACAATGAGGAAGCAGTTCAGATTTGAAAAGAATAAGCACTCCTTAAGATATTAAATCCCACCTTCGGTGAGATGTGAGATCCTGAACTGTTCAGAGGGATGGATGTAGGAACAGAGGGCCGGGGGGCATGGACCCCCGCTTTTCAAGGTTGGGGGGGGGGCAGCGATGTTAACCGCCCTACCCCACTTTTCAGATTAAGGCTGTGTTTAGCTTACGTTTGCATTACATTAAACATACATGCCGATTTACCTAGTTCACTAGCCATCTTCCACAAGATGCGTTGTCTTTTTCGTTCGCTCATTGGCCATCGCTTAACGTCACAGCCGCGAAACCGGTGCCGCACGGCCCATGGAGACTGCAACGCCGGGCGTCGAGACCGTTGTTGCCATGGCTTGCGAAAACACACGTTCAAAACCAGATCACATGGTTTTTTCGATAATCAATTCTGACTGAATCTTAGAACATTTTAAGGCGAACATAGATTAACTATGTTAAAACAATTTTGGGACCCCATTTCATCCACAATCTACGATCAGGGGTCCTCAGTATCTCTGAAGAACACATAGAAACATGGAGCTGGAGTCTTTGTGACAATTTTTGAACCACCTGCAGCGATCACGGATAAGGTTGTGTCATGATGATGTGAGGGTTCTGTGCTGCTCTGGGGCCAACTGCGCGAGTCAGAAGGCCTCCCGTGTCAGGGAAGGGTACAATGTGATCTGATGTATCCTTCTTGAGGTGTCCAGATCAACCAGGAGATCCCGCCCCGTGTCACCAGAATGACAGCCAGAAGACACTTCGCGATGGGACGGAATGGCCCTTCAACCCTTGGCCGGAAACGGTCATGTGCCGCTGATGTTAACTCAGGGGGCTCCTTGCACGAAAGAAAGCAAGGAGTTGCAAATTTTTATAATAGAATGGGGTCTCATTAGTGAAAAAATTACACCAAAAGGTTTGAACATGCCCGCCCGCAATCTCGAGAGAAAGGACAACAATGGCCAGAGTTACATCTTCCGTCAAACCGAACGGCGTGGGCCACTGCGAGCGTCACCAGACGACGGACGCCGTGTCAATCTGTCTTCTGGACAGATAGATAGCTACAGAAACACGAAAAATAGAGATTCTACCCTACTCTTTCAGTTTTACCACCAGATTCCAGCACCACTTCGTGCTGCTTTAAGGGCCAATCCGTTCTTATCATCAGTCTAAAAATCGCACACGTGAAATATATGCCCAGCCTGACTTCTGAATGTGAGGTTTGATGTCCTGAAACGTTCGAAGGCACTTCTTTCACTTTCGTGCAGTCGTTGGCCGCGACTCAGTAATCGCTGCTGGGCCAAAGTGGCACGGCTTCGGGTGACTGCAACGCCTGGCGTCAAGGTTTTTGTTACTAAGACTTGCGAGTGCGCATGCTCAAAACTACGTCGCATGACTTGTATCACTAATTGCTTTAAGTGTTTTAAAGGTAATTATTTCAGAAGCGTCATCAGTTTCGTCCACCGGTGGGCTACGGCTAAAAGTTAGCCACTGGGCTAGACTGAATG